GAGCCGAAAAAAGTAATTGACTTTGTATTTGATTGGTTCATCCTTTTATAATAGCCGGGGTTTGATATTTATACCCGGAGTCTAGACATGAATCCTACTCGAGCACGATTTGTTACAATCTTTGGTATAAAACGAAAATATTCCTAATTTAAGATAACTTGGACTCTAATCTTTCCCTTTTTGTAGAGTCCAACATGTCTCATCCCAGCGTCGATCATAGCCTCTGTCGTTATCTGCTGGCGCTATCTGAAGAAAGCCGATTCTAGTGCTGCATCCGAATCAGCTGGTTTTGATATACCCGGAATTGATCCCTTGCTGATATGACTCTGGGAGCTCTCGAGCCTCTGAAATCCTCCTTCCAAATTCTGGTGTAAACAGATCCCCATCAAAATTATATAGATTCATGCCACTATTTATTTGGTGATTCTAGAAATTGATTTTATTGTTATACAGCAGAGGTAATATATTTTTAAATTAACTATGAGAAATGATTTCATAATATATAATTCATATATTGTGAAACAAAAAAAATATTTAATGATGGTAAATGATCATAATATTTGACTTAGAACAAAGCTAATGTAATATGTCAAATAAATAAAAGAAGTACCCTTGCGTCAGGCGTGAAGGTGTAACACCTCTAGTGTTACGAGCTCACTAAGCACTGAGATTATGACCTGAGAGATCGATCTATTAATATAGTTAGTTACGTAAATGGCTATATGTGTTAATGAAAAAAATCATAACGCGAAGAGTAGAATAAGTAGTTCTAAACATTGGCACGAAAGCAATTTTTATAAACAAAATAAAATATAACTTGTATTTAGTACTTGAATAAAATTTGGAGCGCAAGTTTAATAGATGGAAATACAACTTTTGTTTCGGTAAATAAAAGTCGTTAGTATTTTGATAGATCCTGTTTGTGCATTATAGTGCATGTATTGCTTGCAGATACACCATCCATAGGTGTCATGCGTGTCGTATAGTGCACGACTGACTCGTTCCTGTTCTGGAGTTAATGCTAAATTGTGGCTTTGTGCTTCGCGTTGCCTGTGATTCACGCCTACCGTGACCCGCGTCTCCCCGTACTCTTTTCTGTGCTCTTGTCGGAACCTTGTCTTGCAGCCATATTAGTCATTAATGACCTCGGACATCGCTCGCCTCGAACACACGAAAAATTCGGTCGATTCATTTATAGTGATCTCGTGCTGGAACCTTGGTGGACCGCGTCAGGACCACTGACCGCTCTGCCTTTATAAGCAGGGTCTGACTTAGCCATTTGTACCACCACTCGGTGCACTTTAGCTCGCATAGCTTTTTCTTTTGAGCTAGCTTTTGGCTTAGTCCTTCCTTGCAACCATCGCCAGCGATGGCAGGAGCCAGGGTTAGTAGTTACTGCCTAAACACTGAGGGTTTTCCCAAGATCCTGTATGCTACCCTGCAATAGCTCGGAGTCCAAGATCGTCCCAAGTATGAGGGTCATGAGTATGAAAAGCATGGCATTGAGCGGTGTGAAGTTACCGTCTACATAGGGAAGAGTGAAGAGTTCTCCGACATCACTGAAGCCTAGAATGTGACCGCAACTGGGTTTCGCTTTGTTGACACCTATTAGGTTGTGGCCCGCAAAGCCTTGTGGTACCTTTGCCATATCTATGAAGAGCCCATTGCCCGTACCCCCATGAGGTTCTTTCCACCTTTAAAAAAGAATCGACGGGCATGGAGGGCTCGCATGGAGGCTTTGCAAGGGCGGGATGCGCAAGAAGATAATCCTACCACGGTGCACTTGACCACATACCTGCTTGCTTTGGATGAGCAGTATGACCGGCAAGCCTCGAAGCTGACGAAGTGCCTTCGGCGAGCCGAGGAAGCCGAGATCTTCTCCAGGATGCTCTAGGTGCAGCTTGTCGAAGCGCATGCCAGTGTGGCAACCGCTGAGAGTTGGGAGACTGCCATGTCGGAAGCTCTAAAGGAGGCTGAAGATCGACATGCCCATCAGTTGGGAGAGGCCTACCTTGTCACCAGAGCCAAGCGGAGGACGCTGGCTGCTGAACGGTAGGATCCCTTGATCGTGGAGGGGATCCCTGTCCACCGGCCAGAAAGAAGAACCGGTGTTGTAGTACCACCAGCACCTCCACCCTCGGAAGTGTCAGAAGTAGAACTCTTGATTCCTCTCACTCAGCCATTGCCAAGAGAGGAGGTAGATCCATAGCCAGGGCGGTAGAAGAATCCGCCGAGCTCGGGAATGAAGATGCGTGGTCCAGAGTAGATTAGTTGCCTTAGGATGATGTACCCGTAGTTAGTAGTGTCTTTCATCGCTGTCCACCGATATTGTAATCTTTCTGTTGTATTTCGTCCGTAGTTGTTGAGGTAGTCCGATCTTAGGAAAGGTGAACGATGTGTCGATGGGAGAGTAAGTGCCTGTATGTTGTACCAGCATAAAGACGTTCGGAATATGCATTTTATTTATTTCGCTATGTTATTGCGTCCATCTACCTTAAGTCTCATTAGACGTGCTTAGGGTTTTCGAGGACGATGTTAAGTGGGTTACAAGAGAAATTATCATTCGGATGCCAGCAGACCAGCCGTGATTGGATAACACAGGACACTGTATCGACTAATTGTGGATGTCCCAGCAGAACACTTGAATCTCTTTAAATCAGATCCGTTGTTGGATTTGAAGTCCTTGTCCCTTGTTGCGAAAGAAACCCTTGTTGTTTGAATCTTCCCTTGCAATACTGCTCTGATTCTGTGGTCTATGACCCCACCGTCTTCATTGCGTGTAAGTTGGTAGTAGTTGCCTGGTTAATAGCTTATGGTGTCGCGACGAAACCGATGGCCCCTGTGGAATAGCTGCCACATGGTGACGCTACTCGGCACGTGCTGGTATCGAGGTTGTTGACCAAGTACCTTGACCAAGTTACACCGCCATACCACTTTTGATACAAATATTCGGGTGTTTGAACGGGAAATCCATAACGGGTTGATAAAATAATGTTATCTCAAAGTAAATAAGAGGAGGTGGTTTCGGAGGAAGCATGTATGTTGCGATCTCACTTCATACAAAGGTTGACGCATATTGTGGACAAGGAAGGGAAGGAAAGAAGAACATCTAGGAAAAGTTAGCCTTGGGTAGTAGGGAGTGCTTAGAAAAGCCTGAGTGGATGTCAAGTCCCAAGCATTGTGCCCAGCTCGACCACGCTACGCATGCCGGATCGCTATCACCGCGTGCCCCACGGACGCCATCTGTGTCGGGCCCATTAGTACCCTGTCCTCGCATGGATGTGACATCGTGCCACACTCGCCGTCCTCGTGCACTGTGCGCTTCTCCTTTTCCCGGCCTCCGGTCCGCTCTTGATCCTCGCCCTCGTTCCCGTACCGGACCCCCCTCCCTTCTTTCTTCTTTTGGGGACACGGCCGCCCACACGCCTCCCTCGTCGAGCGAACCCTCTCTCCTCTCCTTTATTCCCCCCCTCCGCTCGCTTGCGCAGGGAGCGCGCCATGGCCGACTTTATCCCCACAGCGTGAACCGGCAGTGTATCCCATCCATACCGTCTCCACTTTCGGTGCGCCGCGCCCCATCTCCGTTCACCACTATAAGATGCCCTTGGTCCTTGCTCTTCTTCTTCATCCCCATCCCTCTCGAATCCGAAGCAGAGCTACGAGATCTAGTCATCATTGTGGAACTAGGTTCGTCTGACAGAGGTGATGGTGTAATATGAGAAGAAGGGATCTGGTTTTCGAAGAAGTTCAAGTCCACCGTTGGTTAGTTTGGTCTTAGGGTTCACGATGTTTGACTTCTTAGTCTCCTGTTTCTGGATCTGTTGGTCATACGCCATGTTTTGGATAATTATTATCTTGTTGTTTCTCCATTGCCCTCGTCTATCCCGATTTCTGGAGTAAGCCTTGGTTGTACTAGGTTGCTCTTAACCATGTAACTTTAAATCTCGGTGTAATTTAGTGTTCGACGTCGTGTAATCTTTCATGTAATTCCATATTAACGAAATGCGTTGTAGTTTCGCCTAAGGAGAGTGGATCCTAATTCACTCTTTTGTAAACCCTCGCGTTAGGAGACGTACTTGTGTTGTAGTTTTTGCTCTTTCCACCTATAATGTAATCCTAGCCAATGTTGTGCTTTGAATCTAAGTGTGTTAGTTGCTTGAGCCCAACTCCATCAAATACTTCTTTCCACTAACATGTCATTGATTTGCTGGTCTAGAATAGACACCATGTAATGACGACCACCATCTATGTTCGTTTACAACATTGTATTGAAAAAAGCCATGTTATCTTTCCTTCCCATATTTTTTCATTTAATGTACCAAATAGACCAACCTTTCGTAGCAACGCGATGAGAAAACATATTAGACATATGAGCCATATTTCCCAAGATTTTTCCTATACAAGCACATCAACCGTTTCGAAGCGCGGGCAGCAATGGCTAGTATATATTCCCTTCTGGTCTACTGGATATGTTCCTCTTTAAAAAAAGGGGCCGGACTAGGAGAAATTATGTGGCTTTATGTTAAAAAGTTTATGGTTTTTTTCAATACACATCATCGTGTAAAGTGTATAAACAGAGTTGAATCTGCTTTTTGTCTTTGCTATCAATTGGAGAACAAAAGTTTATGGTTTTGGTATTACTTTCCTGGATGATTCTGCTGATACGTGGTGTTATTAGGAGTTGCATTTTTTTTTAATTAATGCTGCTGCATTGCTTGGTCCTTTGTTTCCCTTTTCCATTGTCAAATTTCCATCACATACAACAATCTCTTATGAGTTTTAACTAATAATCTTGTTGAAGGTTTGTGGGCTGTCACCCTACTTCAGTGTCCGTGGTCAGAGTGTGCCATTGGTGGAATTGGTGTTTGCTGGCCCACATTTTAGGCAGATTTTGGCAATATTTTTAAAATTTCTGCCATCCATTTTTTATGAAAAGAACACTTGGCAAAGTGGTGTTCAGTTTGACAACTGGCTGGTGTTACATTTTCATTACTTGAATCATGACGCATTACTGTTTCTGCCAACCATTCTCCCAGATTGCGCAATGTGGATCTGAAGAGGGACTTTGGCTTCGTTGTAAGTAAAATTAGCTACTCCCCTTTCGCTTCCCTCAAAAAAAAAAAATGTCACTCCCTAAATTTGCAAGATGTCCTCCTGTAACCTTTCTGATTAATAATCAGTACTTAATTATGTTTTTCACATTTAAGGCCACCCCTGTGTCTTGGTTTGCTGGATCTTACTGCAGGAGTTCAGTGATCCTCGGGATGCAGATGATGCAAGGCATGACCTTGATGGCCGAAGATTTGATGGGAGTTACATCATTGTTGAATTTGCTAGAGGGGTAAGCTGCTACTGTTTATCACTGTTCTCTTACTACAAAGTGAATGTTTTACTAAATTCTATGCCTTTGTTTTGTGTTTTGGAGCTAAACTAGAGCCTTACTGAATTACTGTCCAGGTTGATATCTTCCCTAGTCTAAGTAACATGTTTGTTTGATTTCCCTAGGCCCGACGTGGTCCAGGAGGTGTTCCTCTAGATGGCAGAGGACCACCTTTTCCTGGCCGCTGCTATAACTGTGGAATGGGTGGGCACTGGGTTCGTGATTGCAAAGCTGGTGAATGGAGAGATAGGTGCTTTCGGTGTGGAGAACTGGGCCATATAGAAAGGAACTGCAAGAACAGTCCTAAGGATCTGAAGTATTTCCTGGAATTCCCTAGCTACCTTGCATGTTCCCTTCTCTTTAAGTATCTACACGTTTTGACTGTAAGGTTCACCAATACAGGCGCGGGAGGAGCTACTCGAGGTCTCCATCTCATCACCATGGAAAGGGCCGAGGGAGAAGCTACTCGAGGTCTCTATCTCCTCACCAGGGAAGGGGCCGAGGAGAAGCTACTCGAGGTCTCCATCTCAGTAGCGTGGGAGGGGCAGAAGCTGGAGTAACAGGTATTGCATTAAACCTTGGTTGGTTATCGTGCGGTTATATGCTGCAATTGTGTATTGCATAGTTGCTTCTTGTTGTTATGGATGCAACTGAAGTGTGGAATATAATGCTACTGTGAGGCCTGCCAAGAGGGAAATTGCAGTCGGCCCTGTTCGCTTGTCTTATAATCCGTATTTTTCAGATTGTTTTTTCAATCAGAACAGTGTTTTTCTCTCACAACAAATCAGTCGGAACAGTGTTCCACTTGTTCTATATGTGTTAAGAAAGATACATCGATTTGACCAATCTTCTCAATTTTCTAATTGGTATCTGATGCTTAAGTAATGCTGAAGTTAACTGATTGTAGCATTATACTTGTTGCCTGTTAAACACAGCTGCATTATATGTAAACAAAAGTTTCCAAATAAAAACCTATCCTGCAAGGAAAAAAGGGCTGCTGAATTACTCTATACAATGCAAAGTATAGGATTTTGACTAAATATTCCTAACTTTATTTTTTCCCCACTAACAGTCGGTCGCTTTCGCCAAGAAGGAACAACTTTAAGGCTGATGGTGAAGAATTGCCACCAAGAACCTCTGGTTACAGCCGCAGCCCCAGGAGGAGCTCCCCACCAAGGGAGCGAGCTTAATGCAGTGGTTCATATCATGGTGATAGGCCCATGAGAGGTGAAGCTCAGGGGAAGTGCCAGTGACCTGGAAATTTAAGACTCGGGTTGTGAATTCTCAAACATTTCTTCTGAACCTTTTTGGTGACTATGTGCTGAGGCATGAACTTGATACCGGAAGAATGTTGAACGGTGTGTGTACCTTCCTGTGAAGCTGGGGTTGTGAATTCTCAGTGAAGCTCTCCTGAATGTTGGGAGCCGTTCGGCTGACTAAGAAGCCAGCTTGTTCGGCTTCTTTTTTTTATCCCGAATAGTATTTTTCCCTCACAATATTTCCGCGAGAACAGTGTTTTAAGCATGAACAGTGCATTTTTCACACGAGCCGACCGGGGCCTGGTTATATGCCGAGACAATGAGATCTGATGTCTGAAGAGTTTAGCGGATTGGTGTTTGTGTGTAGAACCTTGCCAGCACTTGATTAGGTTTCTGTAACCTTTGATGATGGTGCCTGCACTAAACTAATTTCAATGCAGTCGATGACATGCACTCAACTAATTCCTCTGTTCATTCGTATGCATTTCTTGACTAGCAATTACCGCAGCATCTGTGCGTCAACTTTAGCTGAATATGTAAACTGCAGCTTCGAGCCATCCAGAGTTGCGAGGCTCATAGCCATTGGCGAATGATAGTGTGTTGTATAAGCATATTGCCGAACTATCTTAGCGAATGAAGTCTGGCTGGTGTGTCGTGACAGAACTGGTACAACCATATTGAGCAAAAGAGAGAGTTACATGAGCAAAAAAAATTGGACCAGCACACTGAGATTGCAATAAAATACTCATCCTTCAAGAACACAAGTAGTTACAAGAGGCAAGCAAAATTTCAATGCAATTCATAACTTGGTGTTGTATATGTGAGAAGGGATACAGTGTAGTCAAGCAAGATGCATCTCTCTCTAGTTTTTGTAACTCAACATTTTTCAGTGTCTCGAACACTTCTATCCAGTTCACCTTCCTTCTGTATTTTTCAGTGCCTCTGGAACACTTCTATCCAGTTCACCTTCCTTCTGCATTGATTAGCTGTGAGAAGGCGTTACTTGTTGACATGTCGGAGTACTCGATCGGCATGCGGCCTTGATCTATAGTGCTGATATCCAGGGAGCTTACTCTGTTTGCATTTGAAGGGAGTTCAGAGATCTGATTCATACTGTCGATGTTGGACATGTCTGGACCTGCCTCCTGCAGCTGCAGCACAAACTCCAGGTTCCACAGCACATCCCCCATGGTAGGACGCTCGACACCATACTCTGCAAGGCATTTCTCCACCGTCTCTCCAAACTTCCTCAGTGCTTCAGGCCTGACTGTCCCAGCGATGCGCTGGTCAACAATCTGATCAAGCTCTCCCCTCTTTTGCCACTTGATAGCCCACTCCGCAAGGTTAATCATGTCCCTTGGAAGAGTAGGGTCGATAACCGCCTTGCACAAATCACCTCGAGCAGCACCACACCAAAAGAGTACACATCTGATTTGTCAGTCAGCTTCTGTCTCCGGAAGTACTCAGGATCAAGGTATCCGAAGCTCCCTTTCACTGCTGTGCTGACATGCGTCTGATCGAATTCAGGCCCAACCTTTGACAGGCCAAAATCAGAAACCTTGGCCAAGAGATTTTCATCGAGGAGGATGTTTGCTGACTTGACGTCACGGTGTATGATTGACTTGGCAAAACCGGTGTGAAGGTAGTGGAGCCCTCTTGCTGCTCCAATGCAGATTTCCAGTCTTTTCTTCCAGCTGAGAGGCGGCATATCACCGCCATACAGATGGCTCTTCAGAGTTCCTTTCTCCATGTATTCATACACCAAGATCATCTCATTATGTTCATCACAGTAACCAATGAGAGACACGAGATGACGGTGTCGCAGTCCTGACAGCAGTTCGATCTCCGTCCGGAACTCCCTCAGCCCTTGGTGAGACTTCTGGTTGCCCCGCTTTACTGCGAGTTTGCTTCCATCCTGCATCACTGCTTTGTAGACCTTCCCAAAGCCTCCAACTCCAATGACCATCTGCTCATCAAAGTGATTTGTCGCATCTTGCAGCACAACAAAAGGAATTCGGTAGCTCGTGTCACCCGAAGTTCCAGATGTAAGAGTCGCCCGGCTGGTTCGGCTGCCTGTGGTAAGGAAGCTAAGACCATTGAGGGGTGTCCAAGAACTTGAGGGCCGACTTGTTGGTGGTGGATGCGGCTTGTTTTTTCTCCTGAAGAAGATGCAGACAACAATAGCAATGCCGACAGCAGCCACAGCTCCGAGAACGGAACCCAATATGACACCGAGATGACTCTTTCCCCCTAGTGATGGTTGCACAACGGAAACAGACCCTGTACTGATGTTCATCTTCATGATCTCCAGGCCATTGAGGATACCATCCGGCACTGCTCTCTTTATGGCAGAAGGCCCAATGCTGACACTGAGCTTACCAGATGGATCACTTGATAGCAAGACAGCATCAATGTAAAATGGCGCAGCCAAGATGCCAAATGCTTTATCAGAGAGATCTAGATTTTTCACCACCGACCAGCTATCCACATATACATCAAACAAGAGCTGATAGGGAGCCTTGCTCACAATGTCACAGAAATGGAACCGAACGAGATAGCTTGAACGGCCATCGACATCAAATTGCCATGTCATATTGGACATGGAGCCAGTACTATTCAACCGCCTCACAGTATTGTAGACACTGTCCGGCGCATCCTCCTCTGTTGCCAATCCGTTCTGGAAATTCAGCTTTCCTGGGAAATTGAGACGTATAGTGGGAGTGGAATTTAAGAAGGAGCTCTGATCAGTAACCCATGTCCGCCAGAGCGTGTCATTCTCAGGAGTCACCTTCGGTCCCCCCACGTTGATCCTGTAGAATGTCTGCAAAGGCTGCGTTGACAGCCCGAGATACTGACCGACAGGGTCCAGATTAGGGGCTGAATCAGTTATGAGATCATCAGGAACAGAGATGACCTCGATGGCATTGACGAAGGCCGGCGTGTTGTTCCCAAGAGGCACAAATGTCAGGACGAGCATGTCCCTGGTAATGTTCAGGGAATACTCCTTGAACACCGGCGAAGAACTACTGGGCGCAGTGAAATTGTCAAGGAGCACAACGTCCTGTGTGGACACCTTGAAGGTTGCCGTGGTGAGATCATAACTCTGGTATTTGAATGGGAAGAAGTGAAGGCGGACAAAATGCCGGCCATGGCTCTTGAGCTTGAAGGCATAGGACGATGCTGCGGCGAATATCCTAGCAGTCTGATACAGCATGGCGCTGTCGAACCCCGAGACCGAATTCGGTGAGGTGGTCGCGGCAGTGCTCTGAGTGTTGGGGGTCGTCAGTATGGCCGGCCCGGAAGTGTCAGCCACGAAAACCCTCTGGTCGACAGTTGCATCGACCGTGGAGCCGCAGTTGATGAGGTAGTTGTCTGCCGGGGTGAAATCGGCATTGCAGGTGCCAGAAACCCAAATGGCCACAGAAAGGGCTAGCACAACCAGTTTGAGCCCAACAGTTGCGCTATCCATGGCGAGTTGTGATGCGGAGTTGCAGATTTGGGCTAGAAGGATGAAGGGGCCATGAGTTGCACGAAGATGCAGACAGGCAGGCTGGAAGGGCTATGTAAGAGGAAGCAGAGAGATGCTTAGTTTGTTTCAGAGACACAAGCAGAGTGCTGAAGCAATGAGTTGCAAGGACAGACGGGAATCGGAGGAGGAAAGGCAGGCGGAAGCTGAAATTTGGCTGGGGCTTGAGGTGAAGAATGGAAGGGAAGGGGCAACCTTGGTCACCAGGCGAGAACTTGGTGAAGGACAGGCAGTGAGAGGAGAGCTCCAAGTCCACCAACAAGAAGTCGTCAGGCGAGTACCTGGTGAAGAACACGCACTGAGAGGACAGCTTCTAGTCCACCACCAACAAGAAGTCGATCTGCGCAACAGTTGGGCACGAAATTGTCAGTTTCTTCTTGTCCAGCAGACCAGCACAGGGCCACACGGGGTTCAATTTCAATTCAAACAAAGAGGAACTGCAGCACAATCTGAGAATCGCAGTAACGAAGTGTGGATGGCAGAAATTCACCTCCGTGGAGCGCGCGGTCCGCAGGGAGAGGCGGCGCATCCTCTCCTCCCAGCTGGAACTGAAGAAGCAAAACCCTCCGGTCGGCGGCGGCGGCGCCACGCAGAGCCGAAGCTTTACGGCGGCGAGCGAAATCCAAGCGCGCGTGGGTGGGTGGTTGCACGGCCGGCCCGGGGAATGGATCCGGCCGGACGACCCTGAGGCCCGCGGCGCTGTTGGTGGTAGGAGCGGACGAGCGGTAGCGGGGAGAAGCGAAAGGAAATGGAAAGCGGCGGCAGCCAGGCGGGCGGGCCGCGCGACCTGTGCTGTGCTGTGGTGTGCAGGCTGGCTGGCGACTGGCGTGCGGCGGTTTCTTGAAGCCGGGAGCACGCAAGGCGAAGGCGACAGGTGGAGAAAGGACGCGGTCGCTCGCACCACGCGCCTGCGCTCGTGCCTGCCTGCCGTTTTGTTTTATGACGGTGGTGGTGGTGGTGGTTAGGCTAAGGACGGGCGAGAGGAGGAAGAGGTCGCGCGGTGGAGGGACGGGAACGGGTCAGTCGTCCTCCCTCCGGCTGGCTGCCAGCGGCGCATGGGGGCGGTGGAGAGGGTGACGAGCGGCGGTTTTGCGGAGGTGGCGTGTCCTAGCAGCGGAGAGAAGAAGGAAGGAAATGAATGCGGGGCGGGGCAGGGGTTGGGCCCACGCGGCAGAGGAGATGGGTCCGCGTAGCAGTAGATGGTGGAATGGAAGAAACAAGAAAGTTGGTGGGGGTTAGACTATCTCTATCCGAGTTTATCCAAACACGAGACCTTGACCGTTCGTTTGGATCACGCACTAGCGAAAAGAAAAACGCATTCAAAATTGGCGAACTTCAGCAGCAAACGCAAAAAGAGAGGCCTCTCGCGCCGCCCGCCGAGCGCCGCCCGCCTCCCTCCCCGCCGAGCGCCGCCGCCCGCTTCCCTCCCCGCCTCGCCGTCGTCGTCCGCGTGCAGATCTGGCAGTGCCGCCCACCTCCCTCCCTGCCTCGGCGTCGTCGTCGGGCCCGCCTCGCCGTCGTCGTCCGCGAGCAGATCTGGCAGCGCCGCCTGCTTCCCTCCCCGCCTCGCCGTCGTCGTCCGTCCCACCCCGACGCCTCCTACGCTGTCTGCCTGTCTCCTACGCTGTCTCGACGGTACAGATTTAGGTATGAGGAGAGAGACGACGCAGTTTTGGGTTCCCTCTCACCTTGAACGCAAAATAGGTACTCCGTTTGCCTACTACTTGTTGGTGGCGTTTTTTCCCTGCGAACAATGCATTTTGGGTATGGATAGCGTGATGCATAGCATGTTAGAGATGGTCTTAGCTGTGCGTGTGCCCGGGCAATCTCTGAGTCATGGGTGAGGCCAGCAGTTGGTTGGTGCTGTGCTACTAGCCCTCCGTCGCTATCCAAATACCAGCCTTCGTTTTAAGAAGGAATGCAATTATGGATCCAGCTCAAATTTAACCAAGGTTATAATAAAAAATAGTATTAGTATTTATGTTTCTAAATAAATTTACTAGAACAATATTTTTATAACTAATTTAATCGTACTTTCTTTGTATCAAAAATATTATTTTTTTTCCAAGTTCAACCCGTTTAGCTTATTGAAAAACGAGAATTGCGTTCTTTTATGAACGGAGGGAGTACCTATGTACGTGGACAAGACGTGTATGTATTTTAAAAACTATTTTTTGATAGTTTTATGTAATCAATATTTAGTATAAATTATAAGAAAAGTTTAAATGATAAAAGAGGAGTTTACATTAAAATTGTATTTTAGAAATACTTCCTCATGATCAAGGTTTTAATTAATATTGCCATGTTTTTTTATTATTATAATGATCATGTTTATAATTTGTTGTTATTATAGATTATATACTATAATAGAAATTAATGATCAAAGCGTAATCTTGGAGGTCGTATCAAATCAAATTGAGACCGAGATTGAGATCGAAGTGTAATCTTGGAGGTGGTATCAAATCAAATCGAGACCGAGCAAACATTCCTTTTCGCAAAATAGCGAATACTCATAGAGTTTTGAACGTAGTTTGCTACCATTTATATCCAGAAATCGAGGTAGAAAGAAAGAGAAAAGAAGAATCTTGGCCAAAAAGAAAAGACGGACGACGCCGTCGCCGTGCCTGCACGCGATGGCGATGCGGTCGACGACGATGATTTGTACTATACAGCTACGAGCCATGCAGGCAGCCATGCTGATGCCTTGGATCCATGGGTGCAATAAATATGGCTAGTATTGGTCAGTAATATTTGGTTTCTGCGGCCGATAAGTCGTCTAAAACTAATTTTTTGTAAAAGAAAAACATTGTTTTTATATATTTTTAAACGGATTTAAAAACGGCTGGGTGGGCCTCGACGCGACGTGGACAGTCAGCTTGTTCGGTTGGCTGGTTCGTTTCGTTGCTGGTTCGTGAAGAAGTACTGCTGACTGATTTGCGTGAAAGAAAAATATTATTCCGACTAAAAATTTACGATTATTTGTGACAAACCACAGCCAAATAAACAGGCTGACTAACCGTAGTGGAGCCAACGGTAACTCGGTAAAGCCTTGCCTCGACCATCAGCGGCCGCCGGCCCAACCAAACACGAGTTGAGTTGGTGAGAAAACAAGTGTGGATTGGATGGACATCCGTCCGACTTGCCAGGTCTCGGGTCGGGTCGTCAAGGAGCCGCGGTTTCACACGACACGGGCCCGCCCGCGAACGCTCGATGCCATTGGAGAGGGAGGGGGGCAATGCTCTGCCTGCTCTGCTCTGTACCCCGAGACGATCGCGCTATATGCATATGCACAGGGTCGGCGACGCTAAGGGTCTGTTTAGTTACAAATGAGTCATCTATTTAAAAGTGAAATAAGTGATTTATTTTGTCAAACACCACCAACTTATAAGTCATCTCTGTTTATAAGTTTTAAGTTAGTTCACCCCTACTTAAAACTTATAAGTCACCCTTTTCCACGTAGGGCCTACACCTTTAATGAGCTTATAAGTCATCTACAACCAAACAAACATGACTTATAAGTCACTAGTTTTTAGTCAACTGACTTAATAAGTCACCTTACTTACGAAACCAAACAGGCCCTAACTAATCCAGGTGCACCTCGCACATCGATCAGTGCATGCACCAGGCCGGCCGTCTTCCCTCCATGGCTCGATCGAGTAAAACATACACCACTCACCAACCCCCTCCTATCCCGATACGATAGGATTCACGGCATCCGTGCAGTACGGTTTTTCCCTTCTATACCCACAAATCGAGATACGCATATCCCGTAGGTTGGGTCAGGACCGTATATTCATGTATAGGGGCCACCTGATTGAGAAAGAAGGTGGCAGAATAAACATACGCTCGCTCCGTCTCACCTAGGAATGCACATCTCATCTCTCGTTTTATAACGAGTCAAATATGTAAGACTCCCTTCACAAAACATCGGAATAGAAAAAAAATAGGAATAAAATGCCCTAACACTTCAAATCACACCGGATTTCATTTCAGAATGGAGGAAAGTTTATGAAGATGACTTTAGAAGCAATGTGGGAAAAGCATAGAAAACAGAACAATGAGGTTGAGGCTCACGTTCAGTTTCCTCCGAAATTCCTCTAGGGCTGTTTGGAACCAGGGAATACAAATACAGAGGAATGTGGAAAAATACAGGAATAGGAAAGGAATACATGTGTATAACAGAGGAATGAATACGCAGGAATTCTAGAGGATTTGGTGTTTGGGACAAAGGAATATGGGCAGCCTGTTCGCTTGCTCGTAAACAATAGTAAATTTCCAGCCGGGAATAGTGTTTTTCTCTCACACCTAACCAGCCAACAGTAAATAATCCACGATACGATACGGCCTCCCGAATAGGCTGATGAGCAGCACAGATAAAGGGGCTAGTGGAAAACAAAATTACTTAGATCGTGTGTCTCCAATTAGTGAGTGTTTGGCTGTGTCTCCGTGAAAGCCAGCAATAACAAGTCAGCATTAGTGTGCATGAGTCTTGGACTTCATGAAGGAATTGAAACCAAGACGTGGAATTGGATTCTTTCTTTCCTTCGAAATGTACAAGCGCCCTTTGGAAATGAATTCGTGAATCCTCCGTTCCAAACACTACGACAGTGTTTTAAACTATAGGAGTCTGATTCCTTTAGAATTCCTTTGAAAATCCTGTAAATCAAACCGATCCTTAGAATGGCTCAATCCACAGTAATTCTAAGAGAATTGTCGAGAAATATTCCTTTGTTCCAATGGGCTTAATAAGAATTTTTCCTATAGAATTTGGATCCTTCAAAATTCTTATGTTTTCCTCCGTTCCAAAGGAGGGCTAAGTTAAGTAAAAAATAGTATCTATCTCTAAAATGTGGACAGATTAAAATTTTATTTTTTTTCTAATGAGTTCTATTCATCAATTAGCGTCTATTAGTTTTTGTTAGACCATGATCAGTTAATGTTTA